CTGGGTGCCCCCGAGCAAGTCTGCACACCCAGAGGGTGCCCTGAGGCTTCCCGTGTAGCGGGAGGGGGCACTGGGGCAAGGGAGGAGCCCGAGCACCATCTGAGCTGTTACTGCACGATGTTTGCACATAGGGTTCAGGTGGATGCTTCTGCAAACCCCGCAATAATGGGTATTTGATTGTTAGAACAACAGACTGTAGATCAGATGTGCTCCCGAAGCTGTGCTTAAAGCATCCATCGTTACTTAAACTTTCTGAAGGGTTCCTGCTTTCCTTCTTGTTCTATGTCAGGAGGCTTTATTTGACCAACTGATTGGCTATGCACATGGAATTTCATAGAATCATAGAATCACAGAATGCTTTGGGTTGGAAGGGACCTTTTGAGGTCATCCAGCCCACCCCCCCCTGCAGTGAGCAGGGACAGCTTTAACCAGATCAGGTTGCTCAGAGCCCCATCCAACCTGACCTTGAATGTTTCTAGGGATGGGGCTGAACATAGTCCTATTAAAATACTCTGCATCTTAAGTGGAATAAAAGAGTATGAGTCTCAGCTGGTTTTCAAGTACATTTAAAAGGCCTTGTCTTTGTTTCTAGGTTTGTTTGGAAGATATTGCCAGGGCTGAAAGTCATGGCTATCCAGACAGGCTGCTGCCCAAGGTCTTGCTGCGGAAAGTTGAATGTCTGCTGTGTTTGAGGAGGTTACAGGATGCAGCAGACGCCCTCAGTGTGGTGGAGAATAAAATTGCTATGGATGGGGTCATGACTAGTCCTACACACCAGACACTGCTAAAAAAGTTAAGTCAACTGAAGATTAAAATACACGAGAGAGAGAGTTGTCCAGAGCCTGCACCAGAAGCACGTGGTGACATTCAAAGAAAGTCGGAGATCTGGGAAGAGAATGACAGTATTTCAGGCGCATCTTCATCTCTGAGCTTGAATTTTGATATAGAGAGAGGACGTCACTTGGTGGCTTCCCAGGACATCCTGCCAGGACAGAGCCTGTTGAAAGAGGAGGCCTTTGTAAGCGTACTCTGCCCAGGGGAGAGCCACCTTCTCCAGGACAGCAGTGAAACGGTGTGGGATACTCGAGTCACTAATGCAGATCTTTATTGCCACCGTTGTCTGAGGCAGCTATTAGCCTCAGTGCCTTGCCGTGGGTGCAGTTATGCAAAGTACTGCAGCCAGAACTGTGCAGACATGGCATGGGAGCAGTACCACAGGACAGAGTGCTCCCTGGGAGCGCTGCTTCTCACATTAGGGGTCTTCTGCCACGTTGCCTTGAGGACTGTTCTGCTGGCAGGATTTGCAGAGGTTAGCAGGCTGGTGGAATGGTCCCATGACAGTGACAAGGACCTTCGTAACCCTGAGGCAAGATGCAAACGTCTCGGTGAGGCACCAGGTACGAGAGCTGGTACCAGAGGTATCCCTGGTTGTAATGACAATGGTCAGTACCAGAGTTCTTACCAAGCTGTCTTCAACCTTTTGCCACATGCTGAGAAGCATAGCCCTGAACATAAGTTCCTTTGCATGCTGAGTGTAGTAGCTATATGCAAACAACTGCAAGAAGCTGGCCTAGAGGCTGCTGTTTTGAATCAGGAATCATCTGAGAAGTGGTCCAAACCAAAGACATGTGAAAAAACATCGGGTGAATTGTCTCCAGAGCTGAAGACTATGGCAGAAGCAATGCTGAGGCATGTGTTGCAGCTGCAATGTAATGCACAAGCGATCACTGTAATGCAGGAGTCGGGTAAGATAAAAACTTTTAAGCCTTTCTCTGTTGTCCATGCTCATCTAGCTTGTGTGAAGAGATTGAATTACCAGTTGTAAAAAGCTCCCATTGCAGATGGGAATGACTTGCTTAAAATTTAATGGACTGTCCCATGCTGGCCTGTTCTTTAGTGCACAGGTATTTAGGGTATTTAGCTATCATTTATTGCAGCAATATACCAGAAACCTTTCTACTGCTATCTGCAATTGGTCACAGTGCTCGTTGCATAAGTTGCGTGGGTTACTGAGCATTCGTTCTCAACCTACATGTTTTTCCTCTGTCCTTAGGGTCCGGAGATGGTGCTGTCGTAAATAAGAAGCCTGTGCGCCTGGCGACAGCCTTCTTTCCTGTCCTCAGCCTTCTGAACCATTCGTGCTGTCCCAATATCAGCGTGTCATTTAGCGGGACAGCTGCCACTGTCAGGGCATCACAGCCAATCCCAAGCGGCCAAGAGATTTTCCATTGCTATGGTAAGTATTAACTCTCTGTTTGTCTCAAGGCACAGACATCCTTTCACCTCTACTTGGCACACTAACTGATTGCTATTAATATCATATTTCCCAGTATAATTTTGCTAGAGTCTTTGTTTATATATAAACCTTGGTCAAAGATATCAACACAAGATTTTATCTCCTGAGCCCACTGTCACATTTTCAGTCTCCAGTTACGTCCTCTCCAAAAGATGATATATCTAGTCTCAATTACAACAAAGATAGATTTAGTCTGATGTTAAGAACTGTACCTGTTTAGAGATTTCTACCTTTGCCATCCCTTTGCAGGGCCTCACCAGTGCAGAATGAGGGTTGCTGAGAGACAACAGCTTCTCGGTCAGTATTTCTTTGAGTGTCGCTGTCAGGCATGCCTTGATGAGTTAGAGTCTGATGTCAAGAGTGTGGTGTCCATGAGAAACTCATTCTGCTGTCCTAGCTGCCGGGCTCCAATGCAGGTAGTTCTTCCATACTTATGATTGTATAACTATGTGTGTATGGATGTGTAATGTTTGGGTCTCTGGGAAAGTCAAGAGTTAAAGACCTCAGCCTGTTGATCTCTGCTCAGAATGCAAAAGCCCCTGTAGAGTCAAGACAGTATCTCACTATTCTTAGCAGCTTTCTTGTAATGTTCTTGTATGTCAGTCTTCCAGCATTATAGGGAAAATAATGCCTTTAACAGCAAGTTAAAATCCCTTTGAATTTGATGAAGGAACTTTAGAATATCAGGGCCATGGACTTCGGGAAGGGGGATATTTAGGAAAGAAAATGGAGGCCTGGAGTCTAGAACAGAAGGTGTACATACAGGGGCTGTATGTAGAGAGAGTCACAGTCTCTGCAGTTCACAGGGTATATACATGCATGTGGTGTGGGTTAGATGGGGAGAAATCAACATAGTATGTATTTTGTATGAATATTAGTTGGGTACCACATGACCCTGCTTTGGCCTAATCTACAGCTCACATAGTCATAGCTATTCCTGGAAGTTTCTCATAAAATCGAATAAGCTAATAGCAATTTACAAGCAAGTCACTTTGTTTAATGAATGCAGCTGAGAAACAATTTAGCATCTCTGTAACACAATACAGAGATAATGCAGATGGAAAGTAAGCTTTGAGTTGAACGTGCGCAGGAATGATCACAGGGGTGATTTCCACAGGGGGAAGACATGCTTTGTTGTTCAAATGAAGCTTGTGCAATCTCAGTCAGCACGGATAGCCTGTCACGTCGTTTACGGGACCTTCAGCAACAAATCCAGAAAGCATTAGAACTGCTAAGAGACAGGAAGGCTGGTAAGGCTCAGCTTTCTGCTTTAAGGTCAGCAGCTAATGAGTATGCGTCGGGAGACGTTGTTCTAGCCATGAGATGGCACTGTTGCTTACACAGTTGGGGTCTTCTGGCATGCAGCCTGGTGTCCCTGGGGACTTGAGCTTTAGGTTTTTTATACCCCTGATCCGGGTGTTAATCTAAGTCACATGTTGTTCCACAGTAACTAAAAGAACTCAGGGTAACATTGGAGTTATGCATTCGCAGGCCTTGCTTTCCTGGAGTGAGTCTGGCCAACACTGCATTAGAATAAGCAGGGTTGCGGATGAAGTCGATGTTAACCCTAACCAAATCCAAATCTAGCTGTGTAAGATGCAAAGATGAGATTGGACTGAGTTTATTTCATGGATCATGGAAAGCTGGAGACTGGCCAGTAGGATGAATTTTATACCCTGTTCTGTTATAGATCAGGCTATCAAAGTGCTCCTGAAGTGTCAGATGGATGCTCAGAATTTCTTGTCTCCAGAGCATTTGCTGATGGGAGAGATGGAGGATCATCTGGCACAGGTCTATGCTACTCTTGGTATGTCATTGTCTTCTCATTATCTTTAGTTTTCTGAACTTTGAATTTAACATGGCTAGCCTTTTCACTGTTCTCCTACTGCATTTCTCTAGTTTTGACAGCAGGGCTCTCAGAAAGACTACTTTAGCCAAAACTGCGTTCCTAGCAGCCAGTGAACAATTAATGTGATCTCATGTTCTTCTAGATTCCCTGTCCTGGTTCTGAGGTCAGCAGCCTCCCAAGAATGCTGTGGACATAGTTCTTCACATTTTGCATAATGCTGTCAGATTCTTTGGGTAGCAGTAGCTCTAGAAAGTATTTATTCATGACTCATTTTTTGTTTTGTTTTGTCTTCTATCAGGAAAGTGGCAGGAAGCAGCCAGACACCTGCAGAGGAGTATTGAGATTGTGGAAATGCATCACGGGCCATCAAGTGTAGAAATAGGTCATGAACTTTTCAAGCTGGCACAAATTCTCTTCAATGGGTAAATTTGCTTTCATTCTCTGTCCCTTCCCTGCACCACTCCTGTGTGTCTGACACGATATCATGGCAGGTGGTCCTTGGCACCTTGCAGGGTGTCTCGCAGGACCCTGTGCAGTCTGGCACAGGTACAAAAGTTGGCCATTACTCAAGTACAAGTTCATTAATCCCACTGGGATTCACTCATACCTCATGACTCTCTTTGGACCCATTTCTCTGCTTTGTGCCTGTCTAGTCTTTTCTTCTCCCTGGCTCCATTTGTTCCCTTATTGTTTTATTTTGACAACTAGTCACCCTTGGTGTTTACACCTCAGTTGTATAATGTTGCTGACATCTTTTCAAAGGACAAAATAAAATCCTCTTGCTCTGTTTTGGCCCTCTTTTGGCAAGCAAATCCCCTGACTTCTTCTTAAAATCTTCTCACAGCACCTCCCTTTAACTGAATTAATTTTAGCAGGGGCTGCAGCGAGGAAGTAGTGGGTACCTATACTCAAAGGTAGTATTTTAAGTTTTTGTCCATCTCCTTACCTTCCCCACCCCCGTCCTCCTGTCCTCCCTGTGCAGCTGAAGTGCACACTATTTGCCAGGTGCTGAAAGGCAGTGGAGGGTAGGATCGGCACCCACGAACAGGTTTAGGGTTTTGTTGGGGAGGGGTTAAAGGTTGTGTAAGTCAAGGAGCTGACATAAGTATTTTGTATACTCTGTTCTTATTCTCTTCCTATTTCAGATTTGCAGTTTCTGAAGCTCTGAGCACGATTCAAAGAGCAGAGGAGATTTTGTCAGTGCACTGTGGTCCTCAGAGTACTCAGATCCAGGAACTACAGGAGATGAAGACCTGTCTGTTAGAGCTTCCCAGAAGCATCCTTCAGAGGACTTAATTTCCCTGTCAAAGGAAGCTGCAATGCGATCTTTCATCAAAGCTAAGTTTCATGTGGTAAGGTAGTCATGTAGTACAAGCTGGAAAATCATATGTAACAACAACGTGAATGAAATCTGAAATGCTCTTTAGTGAGACTGTTGTAAATAAAATGACCAATTCTAACATGAGGGGTCTGTGTGTGGTATGGTGGGAATAGATGCTGTTGTATCATTTCTGCATGTGGGTTTGAAGCAAATGTTTGAGATGTTTGTGTATGCGTGTGTTTCTAGAGATGTGAATCTCCCATGTGTGGGACCCTGATGGTTATGAACATGCAGTCATCCAGACCACACTGCCTTTTATTTCTAATGCTATGAAGCACTTTTCTTCTTGCCAGCGTGAAACATAAATGGTTGGAATGGGTGAGGCAGCAGGCTGGGAAGTGCAAACTTAGAAGCTGTAAGAGGGGCCATTGCAGAACGTGAAGGGATACCAGCGCAGACCTGTCAGTGATGAGGGATTCAGTATAAACAGCTGGGCATCAGGTTGGAAGACAGGATAGGGGGAAAATGCAGCATACACCTGACTGATGCTTGCATACAGGACACAGAACTGCATTCTGGCTCAGTCTGGGCAAAAGGGGAGTGTGAAGGCATATGATGTAGGCAGACAATCTTTCAAGGGAGGAATACTGGGGCTTGCTGAGATTAATAGCAAAAGCTCTTTTATTGCAGCATGAAGGCATAAGATTTGCAAGTTGTGTCTTTGTGCAGCAGAGCAGGGAGCCAGTATCCCTCCCAATACCACCCTTTCCATTTGGGCCCTACCATTGCAGATATTGTGAAGGGATCTAAACACTCCTGGGATCCAGGATCTTGCCAATGAAGAGGAGGGTTCCAGTGGCATCATCTCGCAGTACAAGAAGGAAGGGTCTGTCCACGTGATATTCTATGGGGAAGGTCAGACGAGCAGCATTCACCCCAGGATTTGGTGTGGAATTTTCCCCATCTTCACTAAGCTCCAGAACTGCCTTGTGTTGCACATGAGATAGCTTAACAGGTTTGGCAGAAATCTTGGTAAAATCAGGTGATGTGAAAAGTGATTGGAGTCCTGGAGGAAAGAAAGAAAATTCCATTAGCTGAAAGCATAGATTGCAGGTGGGGGAGCAGTACTGCTAATGCTGTGATCCAGGAGGGCACGTAGTTGCTCTGGTAGAGTTTATTGGGCGTAACAGGGAGAAGCAGCTTACATCTGTTTGTACTGAGCTTCTCCCTCTCAATCTTGGAAGCATTGTATGAGCTTGGTGGAAAGATGTGATAACAAGCTGAGGAGTCCTGGACCAAGGTGATTTAGTTGCTGGTGAAATCTCTACAGACTGACAGCAGGACCTAAGTAATAACCCACCAACTTCATATTCTTCTCAGAGCAGGAAGCAACTTGCCCACTGCTTTGAGCCCTGGCAGTCTGTAGAGGGTGTGTGATGTACATACTTGTCTCCTTTAGCGTGCTGCCAAGCGCCTCTTCATAGTTCAGCTTTAGTTTGGGCAAGCTTAGCACAGCATGGACTGTCTTCAGCTCCTTGTCTACATCATGGACAAACTCAGAAGTAAGGCTTTCCTCAATCAGAGTCATATTCTGGATCACCTTCGTAGGCAGGAAGAACATGGCACTGATTCCCTCTGTCAATGGCAGCTGGGCAATCTGGAAGGCCAGTTATAAATAAGAAAGGGTCACATCAATAATAAACAGTTTTACCCATCCCGTACCAGGCACAGGCCTGAATCTTGACTGCCTGGTCAGCCTTTCCAGTTAACATTTAGTCTTCTTCCCTGTCTGCTTTTGTCGGACATGATGCTTCCAGAACTTTCTGGTGCCCAGGCTTTCATCAACCCACGCTGCACTCTTTCTGCTATTACATGGCAAGTGCTCTCTCTCACCTGTTGAATCCTGTAATGAACTGCAGTATTGCTTTGGGGGATTCTCAGCTGGAACACCTCTGAGCTCGTGCTACAGTGAAAGACTTGTTGAAAGAGGTAGAGATGGAAAAGTTTTGAGGAGTATGCCCTACCCTTCTTGCCCAACTTTAGGTCAAGCCATACAGGCTAGTAGGACCTATGCATTATATAAATTCTGGACTGCTTATCACATACCCAATGTAGAAGTAGGATATTCTACGAACCAACATAAGGCCTTTCAAAATAAGAATTGCAAAACTGGCCTGATGGGAGGAGCAAGGCTGTCTTCTGGAATGTGTTAACAGGTAAATGTAGCTGAGCCTGTTCCTCAGTGGGTTTAGGAGATCTTGTGCAATATTTGCTCTCTGACCTTGCAGTTGAGTTCTGAGTCAAAACCGTATCGCAGTACGGCTTTGGGGTCTGACATCATGGACACCTTCACAGTTCTGTCCTCATCCAGATGGAAGTCCTTCAGGGCAGTCTTCTTGGTGTCAAACTTGGTTTTCCATGTCCCTATTTTTGAAAAGATAAAATGGAGGATTTTCTGGAATAATAGCATACGAAGCCAGGCTTGCATCTGTGGCTGAGTAATCTTGCACTTTATATGTACAGTATTTGTGCTTTAAGAGTTGAGGCATAACTGAATTATGATAGAGATGGAAATAGGCTGATTGGAGCTACTGATTTACTGCCACTCTTTGGCCCTCCTTTTCATCTGAGGATTTGCTAAATGGGAAATAAAAAATCAAGCCAGTGTATGGGTGGAGTAGCTGTTGGGAAGTTATGTCTACTTATGTAATTACAAAACTATTTTAAAGGGTAACAGTTGTGTCAATGCATATAAAGTGCTTCTCTCCCCACCCTTTATTTTGCTCCTTGTCTCTAAGCAATAATTCTCCAGGACGCTGGCTTACAGCATGTTCTAGAACACCTCTCTAGTATCTCCCTCCATTTCCTCTACAGCGGTAAAAAGGCTCAGTACACTCTTTAAGCTGTGTCTTCCCTAAATGGTAATATTTTGTCTCTTGATGTGGCATTTTGTGAGCTTAAAGTTTCTTCTCTGGTCTCTTACTGCAAACATGTCAAGATTCAGCTTCCCAAGAGTAATAATCCTTCCTCAAGGACTATTTCTGTTCAGGTAGCGTGCATTTGTTCTTCTTTACTAAACGTTATCAAACACTTTCTTCTTACACTCTGTCTCTTTGGCAGTCTGTTTGCTCTATTGGGAGGGAGCATTCCCTCACATCTCTTCTAACATGTGCTTAATAGACCCTCTGTAACCAAGTACACAACGTTCTTACCCTTGAAGTAAGCAGCCCCAGCAAGAAGAATACTGACATCTGTGGGCACGTCCTTCATAAAGCGCATAATCCTTCCCTTCGTCTGCTGTCGTACCCAGTTGTTGATTTCTTGCAGGTCTAACTGGGTATTGCCACTTAGCGCCCTCAGACGCATCTTGTAGGACTTCTCTAGCTGGCTGTGAAAACCAGGCTTCACCCTCAGTCCTGGGGAACAAAAACATCGATATTGCAGCTAGCTCCCTTATCAAAACAACCTCAAGGCAGCAGATCGCAATCCATAGCCCAGCAGCAGTTGTCTCATAAAACATCTGTGGGTATACAGAAACCTGCTTTGAAGAAGAATGACTGAAGGCACATGGAGGAAACTGATCCAAATCCTATAGCCACCCATGCTGGAGTATGGGATAACTCTCTTCTGAAAAATAAAGAAAGGAGATAAGAACAGAAGGCTTGGACACAGCTATTCCTACATCAGTCTTTCTTCTTTCTCCAGCTTGCTTTATGAGTATGGCTTACTCAACCTATTGAATTCTTGGAACCAGCAGGTTCCAAAAGATAGCTCTTAGCTTTCCCAGCAGATGTTTATTGCATGCTGAAAGCAGACATTTCAAGTAGTTCTGCAAGGAATTAAACAGAGGAATATGGCTGAATGCTATCATAAATAGTAAATGTGATTTGTGGTTCCTGGAAGTTAGCGACACCTGCCAGAAAACCTAGAGTGAAGGCAAAATTCTCAGCAAGTTTCTTCTAGGTCTTCTGTGTGTTAGCTGCTCTGTCACCAGTATCTTTGTGTGCATAAGTCTGGTCTTTTATTTATGTGCATACAAACTTTCCAGGCTTTTTCTGGAGCAGCAACAGCATTCCATGCACTGTCTGTGTCCTGGCTCAACAGTATGTCAGAGCCAAAGCTGTTAGTGTGGTGTTATTCAGTGTGTTCTACCTGCTGCTAGCTATTTAGGTAAAACTTGATAGAGGGAAAAAAGGACTTTTACTTTTCTCCAAGACGATACGGGAGGCACTTTTCATGCTTTTCTCTGGTCCAGCCACACTCGTCAGTAGGTCCTTGTAAGTGTTGTGGACCTCAGCTTTGTTAAGCATATCATAGAAGAGTGCGCGAGAAATCACATCCTCTGTTCGTTCTCCAGCCCCTGACAACAAGAAGGACAGCAGTATGAGGCAAGGCCTTGTCAAGCCAAGCAGTGCATGTGGAAAAGGGGCAAGAACTCACCAAGTGAGAGACCAGAAAGTGCAGTAGCCAGGCTGAATGGAGACAGTAGCACGTTGGCAGTGGCTGTCCGGCTAGACTGCTGACGGTACAGGTCATAGCCAAAGTTGGAGACTGCAGCTGCCAGCTTGTTTACAGGGCTCTTATAGAATGGATCTTCCTCTTCGACGTCGCCAGTGTTAGCTCCATCACCCGTGGCAGAGTTCTAGCAGGTATGGGGAGCGCTTTGGTCAGACTTGCCGTTTACAAGAGCAGGTACAGTTGTGATAAACATTTCAAAGGCAAGCAATCTACAGATACTGTCCTATGATCTACAGAAATACTGGCTTAATCTTAGTCATAGAAAGTGTAGGAAGTTACTTTACTTTAAAGTGTCCCAGTAAAGCCGAAGGCAGCACTCGGATTGGAATCCACTATTTCTGCCTCACAGTCATCCCCTGATGTAACTACTGTGGTTTATCTAGGTAAAGCAGGAGTTAGTCTCATTATGTTGCTAAATAAAATCCTAGTAACTTAGGAGGGCTGTGCTTAACCCTTTCATAAGATTCTCTAAAATTAAATTACCTGCTTCAAGTATCTCTCCCTCACTCTCTGCATGTTGTCTCCTACTCACCTGCTCAGTAGCCGAGTTCTGGGATCTGCTTGGGACAGTTAAGAGACCCAGGAAAAGGAGAACCACTGGAATCTGCATTCCTGAACCTACAGAG